GGTTCTTGCTTGTGAATGAGACCTTGTACTTCCCGGAACAGAGGGGAGGGGCCCCTGGGAGCTGGGACCTCAAGTTTGAGCCAATGTTTAAAAAAAAAAATCCTCAATGCTTTTATAATTTATGTGTGTGTGTTATTTTATTTTTAAATTAATTCATCCAGATACTGTTTCATTTACTTGTGCAGCTGAAGTAAGAGAGGGAGAGATGTGGGGGAAATCTGGGCAGATCTCCTGGAGGAGGAGACATTTGCTAAAGTTTGGCCAAGTGGAGATGGAAGGAGTGTCCTCTGGGAGGCAGAAACTTCGTCATGAGTAAAATCCCAGAAATGAGAAGTTTGGGGACTACACAGAGAAGAAGAGTGGACGGAACACAGAAAGGGAGCAGCGTGGCTTCAAGGAAAAGGCCCTCTCCCCCTTTTTAATTTGCTGTGAATTGAGAGATCAGATATCATGGATGTTAGAACTGCGTTTAAAGCGTGAGCACATCAACGACCTCAGAGTGAGCATGTGAGAGTGAAAGGCAGGAAAGGGGGACAAGGTCTGGGCCACTCACAAGAAACCCTCTGCGCCCTTTCAGCATCACAGCGCACTGTTTGGGTGAGGTACAAGCTACCACCAGTCCCCACAGAGAATCCAGGAGCTAGACATGAAGCAACAGCAACAGGTCCTACCTGCAGAAACAAGGACCAGTTATGGCCCCTGCACTGCCACTAAAGCACGGCCCACTGGAGCCCACCCCAGCTACCATCATTTGGCCCAGGACCTTAATTGAGGTGCTGGAGATGAGCGAGGGGAGGGAATGCACACGGCTGATCCTCCTTAGAGGGAAGAAACACACACACCCCTCCAGCTCTCCAGGAGGAGCCTCAGGGCTTAGGGAGCTAGATTCCAACTGGGGACCCCTCCAGCCAGAATCTGAGAGGACGTGAGGAAGAGCCAGAGCCAGAACTAGCGACGCAAAAGTGGAGACCAAGAGGCTAACCGAGAAGAGATGGATGAGCTTAGACGCCCTTGGGAAAGACCGGCGACCTCACCCGGCCGTCACAGGGCGCCCTTGCCCTCGGTACCCTCCTCCCCAGGCCTGGTACCCCGCCCCCGGAGGCCCGGCAGGGCTGCCCAGCATCCCAGTCGCTTTGCAGCACATCGCCCTCTGCCCCGTTCCTCCGGGTCGCAGGGTCCGCGGCGGGGGGCGGGGCGCCGGGATGCGGGAGAACCCCGCCAAGGGTTCTTACCTCGGCGTGAGCATCCGTCCGGCCAAGCTTGGTTTGCTGCTGGGACTGCGGGGCTGGGGAGGCTCCCACGGACTCGGATCGCGCCTCCCCCCCGCCGGAGCCCCCAGACCCTTCGGCGGCCCCGAGATGGGGCGCCGGGACCAGGGGACAGGCGCCGCGCCGGCGGGCGGGAGGAGGCGGCTCCTGCGGGGCGCGGCGGGGCGGGGCGGGGCGGGGGCGTCTGCCGGGCCCCGCCCGGAGGGGATTTGGGAGCGATTATCTCGAAGAACAAAGGAGGCCGGGGAAGGCTCGCCCCTACCCCCTGGGCTTGGCCCTGAACTTGAACTTGTACTTGACACTTTGTCCGGAAGGTGGCGAGGGAACCCGTCTGAGCTGGGACTGGGGCTCCTCCGTCCACCTCCTGCCCCGGGAGCGGGCGAGCCCGCCCTCCTCTGCCGGGAGGGAGCCGCGCATCTCCAGGTGCCCCGGGCCCCGGGGCGCCCCCAACTGCCTTGGGGCCCCTGTGTCCCCGCGTTCCCTCGGAAAGTCAAGGTGTGGACGAAGCCGCGGGGTCTCTGGCCGGGAAGGGTCGGCCAGGGCCCTGCCCACCCCGACACCGGGCCCGGCCCGCAGCCTGATCGGCGCGGGGCCGGCCGGATTCTCGGCACGTCGCGTCGGCGGCTGCTATTCAGTCGCTAATTGAACGTTAATGGCAGGTGCGGATGAGGTCACCGGAGCTGGCTTTTCTCACACATTTTTCATGCAAATTCGCGAAACTCTAAACAAATTTAAATAAAAAGCTCTTTGTGCCGCACGCCCCGCCGTCCTCTCCCTCCCGCCCGGGGTGCCGGCTGCTCCGAGGCCCTGGGGCCCCAGCCTGCGGCCCGGCGGCGGCGGTCGGCGGGGGGAGCCGGGACCCCGGGCAGCGCCGCCTGCCGGCCCGGGGTGCAAGCCCGCCGGCTGCTGCTGTGGGGCGGGCGGCAGAGCTCCGCTGGGGTCGCGGGGCAGGGCGAGGCTCGGGGTCGCCGGGCCCGGAGGCAAAGTGCGGGCAGTGCGGAAGTGTCCAGCATCTGGACAGCCGCGCCTGGGTTGGCATCCAGGCCGCGCCCGCACCCACTGGCCGCCTTGGCGCGCTGACCCTGCCTCACTCTCTCCGTTGGTTAAACAGGAATAAAGACAGTGCCCAGTTGTGCATACGGAGGTCTGAGGACTCCACCACGATTTAGGACACCAACAAGCACTTAGCACAGTGCCTGGCACAAGAAAGTGTTGATTGTTATCTGGGGTCGAAGGGCCTTGTGAGGACCCACGCTGTGATTTTGCACATAGATAAAGAAGCTGGGCCCGGGGCTTTTAGGAGATTTACGACCCCCTGCATCCCATTCTGATCTCGAAAAGGAGATCTGGAGCCCAGGTGTGTGGCTTTGCATATTTCTTAGCCTCTCAGAGCCTCCATTTCCTAGTCTGTAAAATGGGATGAAGTCCCACGGGGTCATTGTGAGGATTATATGAGAAGACACTGATGGAGGTTTAGGAGGAGCCTGGAGGCCACTTCACACCCTGGAACCCCCAGAGCCTCTCCTCTCCTGAGGTCAGTACACCCACCATTGCCCTCCTCAAGGCCGGAGGTGGGCCAGGTACGAGCCTGCCAGTGACCTTCATCCTCTTACCCAAAGGACCCCAGTCTGGGCCAGGCAGACACTTTCCTGGGCCTTGGGCAGCTTCCTCCCCCTTTCCATCCACTCGGGGTCCCCACCACACCCGGACACACCGGGCATTGTCCTTGCTGGTGGCTGAGTCTTGCTTTCTTCACCCTTGTCTTTCTAGAAACTGACAGAGACGTGGAAGTCTTTGCAAGGAAACTTTATTCACTGTGGGCTGGGGAGAGAGAAGCAAGGGGTCCAGGGGCAGGGGAGGGGCCTCCCCCAGAATGGGCCCTGGTCCTCCCTCAGGGCCGTCCAGGGACCCACTGGCCTTGGAAGAGTCCCAGTGAGTCGAGCTGCCTGGGTGAGGTCTCTGCTGGCCCACTTCTGCTTCTGCAGCTTCAGCTTTCTCAGCCCCCATCAGGCCAGCCTCCGGGAAGCATTGGGGCGGGGCCGGAGCGTCCTCATCTTCCTGCTAGGCCCCCTTGAGGTCGGGGATCCCAGAGAAGAAGCAGAGTCTGCAGGAGTGCAGGTGACTAGCAGCCAGGGTACTGGGGGTGCTGCAGCATCTGACAGACCCTCAGACCCTGCCCACTCCCTCCTCCCGCTGGGCAGAGACCCCTCTCCAGGGCTCACTCAGGCTTGTCTCCATCAGCTGAGCTGCATCCTTGCTTCCAGGCCACTACCTCCAGGAAGCCCATCTGGACAACCCTACTACCCCTAGACAACTCTGGAGGAGAGGCTATACTACTCAAAGGCCCCGGTCCATATGAGGCTCTATAATCCTCCTCCCCCACCCCCCTGCCCAGTCCAGGGCTGGGCACACCGCAGGAGAGAGATGGCATTAGGTGGAAGTCAGGGAGGACCCCAGGCAACGTGACATTGCAGAGGAGGGGTTAATGTCTCTTACATATGGATTTGGTGAGGAGGGGTTGCAGCTTTGGGGACCTCTTTTAAGTGACCAAGCCAAACAGGATCTCCTTGGGGTTAGGAGTACAGACTTAGAGTCAAAGAGCCTGAATCTCAGTTCTGGCTCTTACTAGCTATGTGATTTGGGACCTATAACTTAGCTTTTCTGGGCCTCAGTTTCCTCATCTGTAAAATGGGTGTACTGATGGTACCAACAGCCGATAAAGTTATGAGGAGTCACTGCACCAAAACATCTGCCTAGCAGCTTGGCAGCCCTCCAGAGGGCTTCTTTCCTCCCCTCTCCACCAGCCCCACAGCTGATTGATTTCAGGTGACTGTAGCCCCACCCAGGCCCCTCTGGGTGGCCTCTTTCCCCAGCCCCTCCCAGGCCGTGGGGGCCCAATGGAGAGCCCCGCTGCTGACTGCAGCTCAGTCTGGCCTGTGTGGTGTAGCTGGACCCTGCACCTTCCCGCTCCTACGGCCGGTGGCCCACTCAGAGACACCTGTCGGGCCATTTTCCCTTTTGGGAGGGTGAAGCAGACAGGAGAGGAGATTGGCACTGGGAGCCCCCCACTCTGCATGGTGATGTCTTTCAGGACACACGCTGCTTGTGCAAATAGGGCCTTTTGCAGCCCCGTCCACTCCTCCCTCGCCCCACCAGCCCCCAGCACAATGACACTTCTCTAGGGCAGTGGCAGATGGGGGCACCTCCTTGCCCACCTGGCAAGGGCCCCTCCTGAAGGGGGGGCAGCGTCTACTCTCTACTGCAGTGAAACAGGAAGCCCCCCGAAGCCCCCTCCCTGCTGAGGGGCTCTGAGAAGCCAGTCGAGGACTCTTCAGCATGGGTGAAATTGGAATAATGGCACCTACCTCAGCAAGACCCAGAGAGACTAAGCCTGGCACTTAGTAGGTGTTTAATTAACAATAGCAGCCATGCTGATGATATGTGATTATTAGGCCCCAAAACGGCCAATGGGATGTTTTTTCTGTAACATCAGCACCATCGTCTTAGAACTCCTACCCCAAGTTGGTTAATAGGAGTTAAACCTATTATATTAAATAGTCTCTAAATTTTTCAGTAAAACCATTCCACGAACACGGAAAGAAAACCTAACAGTACAGAACAGTGCATCCCTAACATCCCAGCTCCCAGAGGGAGCCTTCCCACACGCACATCCAGAAACTCTTCATTCACAAGCATCCTTAGGACGGACGCACAAATCGGATCACACTCGACTGCCTGCTCTGCAATTTATTCTATTCTCCCAACAGCATACACTGGCCAACCCTCTAAATGAGCTTATACAGAGAGATCAGCCACACCAGTTTTTGCAGCTGCATAGTATTCCACAATATGGATGGACCATAGGTTCCTTTCCATTTCTTTACACTCTTAAAAAAGAGATGCTCCGGCGATCATCCTTGTACATATTTCTCTGGGAACTTTTCTCCTAGTGGTGCAATTTTCTTGTGACCCAGTGTATGTATCTTTTACATTTCGATATTGCCACATTTGAAAAAGTATTGTACAATTTACACCCTCCAACCAACAGTGTTTGAGAGTATCTTAAAATAGACACACGATGGTAGAGAACGGCACCCAGATGGCCAGCTGTGTGAGATACAGGCCATGGAGCATCCAAGGAGCCCCCTGAGAATGGCAATGGGACCGGTCTGCTGCCCTGAGGGCAATGTCCTAGGCCTGCGCAGGCTGGTGCCCAGGGGTGCACTGAGTCAGAGGGGAGTGGGGCCCACAGGGGTGCTGGGGGTGGAGGGCAGGCCGGCGTGGCTGGGGTCCCGCCTGAACGGTTCCCTGCGGCCATTGTCTCTGCCTCGCCTGGTCTCCTTGGGGTTTACTCAGGGGCCTTTGGGGAGGGGGCTGGGCAGGAGGAGGAGGAGGGTGTGCAGTCCTCACCAAAGGCACCCAGGAATGTGTCCCAGGAGGGAGAGAGGAAGGGGGGGACCCATCCCTGGGAGAGACGGGACGTCAAGAACCCCTGACTAATGAATAGTGAGTGTGCCCTTGAACCTCGCTGGGCTCCGCCATTCTCAGGCACAGAACAAGAGCCGAGCACGTCTGCGCCCAGCTGCGCGGGGACGGTGGCGGTTCATCTCAGACACTTTGACAGGCCGGGCCTTTTCCCTGCATAGCTCAGATCTGCCTCCCGGCTCCCCTGGCAACAGCACAGCCGCGTGGCTCCCAGGTCCAGGCCCTGCCTGCTGTGAGCAGGAGGAGGGAGGAAGAGGAGCACCAAGGGGAGGACAGCTGGGGAGAGGGAGCCGTTAACTCCTAGAAGACTGGAGCCCCTGGCTTCGGCAGCCTCCCGGCATGCTGCCCCTGGTCCTCCGGGGTGGAAATATGGATGGCAAAGAGCTTCTGTTTGCTGGAGACCTGGCTAGAACACCTCAGGCCCAGAACAGGCACATGGTGTGACAAGGGCAGAAATGGTGGCCAAACAAGCAAAGGCAAAGGTCTCTGTGGGATGGGTTGGGGCACGTTCCCCAGTGCCCCCGCCGAGTCCCCGATGGGCAGGACGGGGCGCGGAGCCTGCACAGTGCCCCGTGCGCAGGTCCTCCTCCGTCCTGACCCCTGATTGCTGTGGCCCGGGACAGTGGCTACTGCCTCTTCCCTTCCTGCTTGGCTTTTCTCTTCCGATGATCTTGAGTGTCCTGGGGTGGTGTGGCTCTGTATTCCGGTCCTGTGACCTTGGCAAGGCCCTGATTTCCTCTCCGTCTCCATTTTCAGAGAAGCTGAAAAGACGCTGTCCCATCGCACCTCACAGGACAATCTAAAGATAAGAGAGACAACATGTGAGAAGGAGCTTCGCACTCTGGGGAGAAGGGTGTCCTATAAATCTCATTCAGGTATTATTAGGGCTGAAAGTAGGTACTTCTGCCCCCTGGGGCCAGGGGAGGAGCCCGCCCGAGGTTGTCTCAGAACCTCCCCAGCAGAGCAGGCTGGAAACTCAAGGGCAAGAGGTCAGGAAGGATAACGGTGGATGGCTGTGGCCTTTGGGGCCCCTGGCTTCAGCTGGGACCAGGAGGTAGGAGAGAGCGACCATACAGTTTCAAGGTATTTCATCTGTCTTATTTCCACGCCTCACAGCGACTTTATGAGAAAGGCGTGGTTATCCTCAGTTTAGAAATAAAGACACAAAGGCTCAGAGAGGTTAAGGGTCGGTCCAAGGTCACACTGGTTGTACAAGGACCTGAGCCCATGTCTGCCTGACTCCATGGCCCGCATTTGTGTCAGCTGTCCCCCTGGCAGAGCCACCCGGCTGGAGGTGCTGGGAGATGGGCGAGGCCCCGAGAAGCAGCACTTCTCCCCTGGATTGCTTCTCAGGCTTAGAGCTTCTGAGTCCAAGGGCCCTGGCCTGGGGGAGGAAACCCACCCTGCAAACCCATGCTGAGGGCCACCTGGTGCAAATGGCCATCAGGACAGACACTCAGACACCTGTCAGAGCAAATGGAAACAGAAGAGAAGGCTCCAGACCAGAGGCTGGGAGCAAACTCAGCTAAGACTTGTGCCCTCTGACCTGAGTCTCTCTCTGGGCCGGTTACTTCCCAGGCTCATGTGACTCGTGAGATGGGGTTTCATTGCCCAGCTTCTGGGTGAAGGTGCCTCCTGCATCCCAGGGCAGCCTGAAAGGGAAAGCTGGTTGGCTTCCTGTGAGCCAGGGGACTGGGACCAGGGGGTAGTGGCTGGTAACAGAGGAGAAAAAGCAGGAAGAACTTCCAGATTCCAGAATGTCAGAGCCAAACGGGAACTGACGCGCCATCCTATCCAATGCACCTTTTCTAGGTCCAGAGAGGGAAAGGGTTTGCCCAAGACTGCTCAGCAGGAAGACAGGCTGGAGTCCAAGTCTCTGATTTCCAGGTAGGTGGGGCTGTGTCTTCTGAACCCTCGTCACTCTACCAGGACATCGTGGGCCCTCAAAGACAAAGGCCCACCCAACGAGGCAAAGAGAAGAGTCAGGTAAAGGAAGGCACTGTTGGCAAAGCACACCATGCATCAAGGGGGGGCTTCAGGAAGCCCGGGGCTGAGGGCAGACGCTGCCTTGAGGTCAGAAGCCTTCCTGGATGACAGGACACAGCTCTGTGCCATGGCTGACACCACCGCTCTACTCCACCGCCAGACAGCAGGAACCATGAACCTCCTCTGGCGGGTGACAAAACAGGTGCGAGGAGGTGAACCGGAACATGGACAGTCCCCTAATCCTGACCCACAATGCTTTTGAGAAGAAGGGAGAGGACAGAGGGACAGCTCCAGGGGACATGGGGAAGGTCCCCAGAAGCAGCTTGTCCCCACAGAGCCTGGTGGCAGAGCTGCAGCCCGGGGGTGCCTGGAGCCAGGAAGGACCTCAGCTGCCTGCCCTCTGATGCTGGGTCCCCGCCAGGTGCCAGGCAGACCTGACCTGCTCAGAATAGACAGGGGATCCGGGGATCCCGCATGCTGCAACCCGGGCAGGAGCTGCCCTCGAGGGAGGTCTCTGTGCTTGCTGATGCACAAACCCGTGATGGAGCAGGAAGACGCAGACAGATGAACTTATCTCAGCCCAGCTGTGCCCTCCTCCCTGGGCTGATGGTTCGGGCCAGCTGCCATTCTGACCGGCCGGAGCCCACAGCTAAAGATTCCGTGTTTCATTGCTGTGCTCGTCCCCCAAATCCCAGCTACGCTAACTGACCTGGAACAGCTCAGCTCCTCAGACCTGAAAATCAACCCTGTTCCGCGTTCCCCACATGCTTATGAACGTTCCTCACAGCCACTCCATAGGGAGGACGATCAGTTCCATTTTACAGATGAGGGTTTAGAGGCTCTGAGACATTCGGGGGACTGCTGCACAGTGGCGCCAGAGACAGAGCTCTCCGTCCTCCTCCCTGGCCAAGGTCCTCCGCCTGGACCACCCCCATCCTCAAGAGCCAGAAGCCTCTGAGCCAGCAGGGCCTGCGCTCAGCATCCTGCCTCAATCTCCTGACCGCCGGGCTCTCTGGCTGCTCAGTCTAAGCAGGGGCAGCACACTTGCTCAGTTCTAGATCAAATCCTGCAGCGCCTGACCAGCCGGACAGCATTTTCCCGGCCATTGTGGGAAGGAATACCTGCAACTTGGAGTGGGCGGGTGCGGCTAACTGGGATGGGGCTGGGGGAAGGGAGGGGCAGTTCCCAAACAATAAAAACTCAGCTGGGCAGAAAGGGCTGGAAAGCTTTCATCTCGGCAACTTTCCTCTTGAAGAACAGAGAGCAAGGAGCCGCTGTGCAAGCAGGGCCCGTGCCCCAGCCCTCTGCTGGGCGCCACCCCAGCCATGCTGGGGGGTCCAGCCTCGGGAGGGGCAGCCGCGCCTGGAATGCGATTCTCTGGCTTTGCTTGACGCTCCGTTAGCAGAGTGCGACTCCCAAGATCCCTGGCCACCTCCTAAAGCCGCTGCTGGCCCGCCCCCCCAGCACCACACTGATCACCAGATTAAGGAGCTCAGGGCTACAGCTGAGGCAGCTAAAGCCCGGGAGGCAGAGTGGGGGGGGCAGGCCATGGGCAGCTCTCCCCAGGCCCCGCCCACCCTGCCTCTGCCCCAACCCCTCCTGTGGGCCCTGACCTGAGCTCTAACCTCTACCCTCTCCTCCTCGTTGAGCTTCCTGTGTCCTTTCCAGGTACCCAGCTGGAGCAACCAGCAGAAAAGGGAAACAGGGAAAGGGTAGGAAAAGAGAGGGGGAGGGGAGAGGCAGTCCCAATGGCAGGAGGGAGTGTCCCGGGGGTGGGGACTGGCTCAGGGCAGGAAGGTAAGCACTGGAGAATGGCTGGGGCCTCCCCTGCCTGGACTGGGCACCGCCTGAGGTGCATCCCTGGGGCTCCCTGTGGGTCCCTCTGGGCAGCTGCCTGACTCCAGAGCAAGGTGCATCCCACAACACCTGAGGAGAGAGCGGGAGGGAGTGCCAGAGATGTGGGAGGCTGGCACCGAAGGGACGAGAGGAGGAATTTGGGCATTCGAAGCTTTTCCCTAAGACCCCAGCACTTCCTGAGACGAAGTCATCCCAAATCATTTAAAACACAAACCCAGGGAGAAAGGTCCCTTCTGTCTGCGTGGAGTCCTCAGATCTGTATGAAACGAGACAGGAAGGGTCCATCCACGATAAAGACCCAACGGGAAGGAACAGGACATTTTGGCACAGGGCTTCTGGGACTGAGTGTCTGAGGCTCGGACTGTCGATGACCCAGAAGCTGTGCCAAGAGGGCAGGGCCAGTAGGGCTGAGTTGGGGAAAGGCCGGGTAAGGGCCTGGGAGCCAGACCCATCACTGGATCTTGAGACCCTGCTCCTGAACGAGAGGGGCCATGCTCCGTGCCCTGCATCCCCCTCTCCTGGAGTTACTGTGAGGGGCTGTGGAGGGCTGGAAACTCAAGGCAAGACCCAGAAAGTTGTCTGGAGGCCCAGCTGGGCGGGCATCCAGCCTCTCCTCGGCCCTGTCCCCCATGCTGGGGCCTGCAGGGGGCGACGGGGACACACCCAGGGCCCGGCCAGCAGCTGCTCTCACTCCAGCTTCTCCTCTGCCGCCACTGCCAAGCTCCCTTCTGCTGGGCTGGGGCCTGCTTCCCACCCCTGCAGGGTAGGGGCGGGAGGAGAAGGGCTGGGGCTGCCAAGGGGGGTCCTGTGAGGACCTGAGAAGACAGGATCTGCCAGCCCCTGATTCTCTGCCTGCTACAAAAACACAGGCCCACACTCCAGTGTCAACAAGGATGAAATCCTTGATATAGCACCCCCTCCACCCCCGGCCGGAAGTTGCTTGTCCCATTCCCGTTGTTGTGCTCTGACAGTGAATGCTAAGATCGCCACCATCAGACATTCTGAGCTAAAGGACCCAGAGATCCCTGAAGTGAACTCACTCATTTTGCAAGTGAGAAGGCTGAAGTTCACGGTGTGGGGAGCCCTGGTGGCCAGAGGTCACACGGCGAGTCAGTGGCAAGGACAAGCCTCCTGCCCTGTCTACCAGACCCTTTTCCTGTTCAGGGCCAGGCCTCTGCAAGGGCCTAAGAGAGAACGTCTCCATCAGATCCCAAACAAGATCCTGGCCCACCATGGGCGGCGGGGGTCTGGGGCCAGGGGAGGCCGTAATGCGATAAGCAGACTGGCCATCTGGCTCGGGGACAGAGGAGAGCCCAGACTGGCCGCTTCTGCTGCCCAGTCCCAGGGGGCCCTGTGTCGCGAGAGACAGATTGCCAGATGGACAGGCACTGGCCTGGGTCTGGGTGGAAGCCAGTGAGTTCCCTGCAGTCAGAGCTAACCAACTTTCATATGTGGTGGGGTAGGAGTGGCGGGGGCACAGGGAGCAATGCCAGGCGCCCCAAAGGGCAGAGAGACAAAAAGGCAGCGTGGGGGAGCCAAGATCCCCACCCCGGCTCGGAGCCTGGCCCCCCAGGTAGGCCCAGCCCGACCCTGCTCCACAGCCACAAACAGGTCCCCCTCCCGGGAAAGGCAAACACATCTGCCCTGGCACCTTCTCAGACATGCATGCAAAACTAATTAACATGGGGAGACATGCGAGCAGCCGGCCAGCTCCACACCCTCGAGTCCACGCAAACAAGGCGAGCCCTTGTCCGGGGGACGTGCACAAAGCTTTGTTGCTAATTTAGGCATCTGTCTCTGTCTGGTCTGGTCCTCCTGCCTGTGCTGGGGTTTTTCCCAGCCCCTTGGACAATGCTGGGAACAGGCCCGCCGATCCCTTATTCAAATCACACCCAGGACAATGAGCTCATTGTGCAGGCCACAGAAAAGGGGATGCTGGGGGGGTGGTGGGGGGGGTGGGCGGGTAACAGGGCATCAGGACTGGAGAAGGCGGGGTGGGGGGGGTGAAGAAAATGGGAACCCAGGAAAGTGTTTACTAACACAGCCCCTGCAGCTGCCTTGGGCCCCTCTCCCCTTCTCCGCCTAGCTGGCAGCAGGGGAGAAGCCCCAGGATGCAGAGGTGGGGGTCCCAGAGTGGATGCAGCCTTGTGTCTACCGGGCCAGCAGATGCAAAGTGTGTCTCCAACCTTCGCCTTGGTGCCCTCTCCCACCTTCAACTGTCTAAGCTTCCCCGGTGTGTCCATGGCCAGCCACGTTTTTCTATAGATTGGTTTGGGGGTTCTTTTTCTCCTTCCTGCGGACCAAGTGGTGTGATGTGCAGATCCTGACCGTGGAGGAGGAGCCGGGGCTGGAGCAGAGGTGCTGGCGGCTGTGCTGGGTGGGACCTGCTGTCTTGGCCATTGTCTTCAGGCAACGTTTCATTTTCTCCTCCTTCCCAGCTAATAAATTAGAGAGGAGATGGTGAGCTGCGAAGGGACAGGCTCCCCATGGACGGAGGCGGGCGGGCAGACAAGTCTGTGAGCTCACGGCAGATGGGGCTCACCCAGCTGCTCACACCACACCTGGTCAGACCCTCGTATGTAGCCCCACACAATGGGCAGCCTAAAAAAACTCTATATATCTACACACACACACACACACATATATAAATCTATACATAAACATATATATAAATCAACTGAGATCTCTGAGGGGCAGATCTGGGGCTTCGAAACGCTCCCCCTCCTTCCAAGGCCCCCCAGCTCCTTGTCGCACTGAGCACGCCTAGACAGGCCGATGTAAACAGACACACACAGCCTGACACTGACACGCAGACACAAAAAGAAACACACACACCCAGAGGCAGCCCCAGACACACACACTGACAATGGTGTAATGAATGCAGGACGGCGAGCGCATTCAGTCAAAAGCCCGCACCGCGGCCACCCGGCACCAGGGGGGCTGAAAGGTTATGGAGGGGCTATAAGGGCCCTGGCAACCTCCTTCCCTGCTCCAGCCCCCAGGACCGCACGGTCCGAGATGGGAAGTGGGGAAGGGAAACACCATCTCAGCATCCAAATGGAGGCAAACGCCCCCTGGGACAGAAAAGTTTGGAACTGGTCGCAGCCCTTAGCCAGGCTTGTCTCAACCGCCCCGGAGAAATTTTTTTTTAATACTGAAAGATAAAGTGTGTAAAAGTCATGTTAATTGTCCTGCATTTCGAGACACATCTTGAAGTTGGGGCGAAGTGGAGCCTTGCCGGGTAGTTTTCCCCTTCAGGAGAATCCACAGGTCGGGGGACTGCTTCCTGCCATGAAAGTGCTTTTGAGAAGGGAATACAGGATGAAGAGGCACACAAGTGGTAAAGATTGCAGAGGCTCTTCAAGACGGGCTTCTGGGCATCCAGAAGGGACGGCTCCCTCTCCACCGGCCCAGAGCAGCGGAAATATATTAGGTTGAACCACAGAAAATTACCAATATTTGACCGTTTTGATCTACAAAAAAGAAATTTCATATGGGTCAACCTAACAGGCAGCTGGCTCCCAAAACCACCAGGGGTATTTTCCCTTTTTTATTTCCTCCCCAAACTGGGTTATTTTATTCCCAAAGAAAAAATAAATAAATAACAGTAATCTAAGACCCAAGTCCACCTTGTGCCATCCGTCCACAGCCACATAACACCTCTTGCAGAGAGGTCAGAGCAGCTGCTGGAAATGAACTGTGAACACACACACGCGTGCGCGCACGCGCGCGCGCGCACACACACACACACACACACACTCACATACACACACACACACACACACACGGCTCAGGGCCTGCGTCAGGATGGGACCCACCTTCCGACTCCTCCACCAGGCTCCTGCTTCTCCTTTCTGTCTTCCGGCTCCAGGCATGTCCTGGAGAGGACAGAAGGAGTATGAGACGAGAACAGCACAGGAAATGAGAGAACAGTGCTCCTGGCTTCTCCTCCAGAGGAGCGTCAGGGGCCAGCACAGGAGTCTGTGCACGCACTGTGTCCTGGAAGAAACATCAACCACGCAGCTTCAGGACTAAAGCACATGCTATCTACTGGCCAAGGCCAGCCTCTGTGCATATGACATTCACTCAAACTACCTCTAGCAGGGTCACACAAGGGAAGCCAGAATGGCGCTGAAGCCACCCAGTGTAGGGAAGGCCCATCCCTTGCCAGCATCTGGACATCCATGTGTCCCGTCACTCACTGTCACAGAACGCAGAGCACACGGCATCTTCCTGGGAAGTACTTTCACCAGCCTCTCCGGGGTTTCCCAGGGAAGCAAAGAGGAAGGTTTAGGAAGCAGAGTGAGTCCAGCACGCTCTGTAGCTCACTACCTGCTTCCTCCTCGTCCACACAGGACAGCCTGTTTCACACATGCTCACCTTGTCCACCAGCAGCAGAAGCCAAGGGGACGATATCTCCTAAGAGTCTCTTAGTGGCCAAGGACCTGAGGCTCCATTCAAAGATCTGGAACCACTTTCCACGCAGCTGGAAGTGGCCAGTCCCTCCCGCATCTCTGACAAGTGCTTTAACCACAAATGCCATGTAAATTCTGGAGTTTTATCCTTCTAAACACCCCCAACCCCCCCCCCCCCCCGGAGACCTCAACAAGAAAACCACCAAAGTAATAATAATAAGATGAAACCTGTTGGGCCTTCTCGCTCCCGGGGAGGCAAGTGAGAGAATGAGAGAGCCTGCAGTCCGGGCTTTAGGTCTGATGTGTCCATTTATATGGCAGGCCCCAACCCGGGCGCCACGTGGATGACTCTTCCCAACCCCAGATGTGTTGAGAGAAGGCAGCTGGGTGCCTGCCACGGCTGACTTACACGCAGGCTCCCCTGCCAACCCCTGCGCTCAGGATCCAGTCCAAGCAGAACCAGGATAGAATTTTGGCCTTGACGCCCCAAACAGCGTCTGATTTCTTCCGAGGAGGAGAAGCCTCCTGGACATGAACTCATCCAGATGTAATTCATCACTTGACCGCATTTAAGATGTTCCCTACCAATCTCACATGCAAATCTCTAGAGGTTACTGCTATGCTGACTCCCAAGATCAAAGTTGTTTTTTAAATGAAGAAAAGGCAATCGAGATGTCACAGTTCTACGGAAAACCAAAGGAATCTGGAAACTCAAGGTGCTAGCCCAGGCTGAATGGCAGCTTCAGGTCACCACGGGCAAAGCATGAAATGGCCTTGGATCTGCTCTCCCAGGCTCCTGGGGCATGGAGGCGGGCAGGGGAGCCAGGAAGCCACAAACTGGTAGGGACTGTCATACCCCCAGTGCTCCTCCCCTCCCCGCCCCCGAGCCTGCCCTTCCGTCCTGGATGGACAGGTGAAATTCCATATTACACAAGCTTCAAGTGCCAGGCAAGGGACTGTGGTTTTCTTCTCTGTATCCCCAAGGCCTTGCCTAGAGCTGGACATATAGAGCACGGTCCCTAAATGTTGAATGAATAAATGAATGTGGTAGAAAAAACACAGTCCAGCACAGGAAGGCATCCAAACCCCCAGCTCCATGGTTCCCTGGCAAACTGCAACGCGGTTCCAGGGCACAGCCCTGGAGGTGCTGGAGTCCAGGCCTGGAGCCATCAGAGGTGAGCCGTCCAGCGCAGTGTGCCTGCTTGGTTCAGGCTGGCCTGGCAGCGCCATCTTGCACCTGATGGCCAGACAGTTCCCTTAGCCTGCCCTCCGCCCCTGCTGTGCTTGGCCTCCGCCATCTGACCTGCTCTTCCGACCGAAATCTCTGGCCAGATCCTGCAGGACTCGGCCCTGCTGCTCCATGCCCCCTTCTCAGCGTGTTCAGAGAGCCCTCCCGCCTCCAAAGCCTAGAGGACCCGTCTGGGGACAGTGAGCCTTCTCTGACAACTCCACCCCAAAGGAATCCTTCCTCTCTTAACTCCCACGCCTGAGTCAAGCTACCCACCGCTTGAATGTGTGCCTCCTTAGGTTGGTTTCTGATCCGAGGGATCAGGGAGAGGTCAGGGGTTCCCCGGGGTCCTCTCTGCACCGTGGAGCTGGGAGCTTACGCATGGTCAGTAAACACCACGACTTACTGTAGAGTGACTGACAGAGCTGAGCCCAGCCCTTGCTCGCGGCCTTCCCTGCACCTTCACCCACCAGGGAGAGGGCCCCCGCAGCAGGGCCTTGCCGTTCGCGCCTGCCCAGCCCTCCTCTCTCCCCAGCACACACGCCCGTTCCAGAGCAGCAGACGGGGGCCACTGACCAACATTTCTGGAGTACCCTAAGTATCACCATGCCCAGCTTTACAGATGAGAACACTGGCTCAGCGAGAGGGGAAACAGTGTGCCCCAGGGGTCTGAACTGGGTCCGACAGACACCCGACGGCCACTGAGCCACAGGCACAGCCTCACACGCCATGGTCTTGGAGGCTGCGATCCAACGGAAGAGAGAGGCATAGACAGAAACAACTCGAATGGGGCAAAGAAAGCTCAGAGGGATGGGGTGCTGTAACCTGGGACCTCCCTCTCTTTACTCCCCCTCTCCCAGCGTTTCCCCCAAATGACGCCTCCTCAGCAGCACTCAGCACCTCTTCTGTCCTGGGCGGGGGTGGGCTATGATGCCAAAGCGGGCTATCAGGAAGGCCTAACACTCTCTGCTTAAGGACCAGACAAGACTAGACAGAGGACATGGACCCCTTTGCCCCCTCCAGAAGCCAGTGCTCCCTCAGGGCGACGGGACATCGCAGAGCAGAGGCTCCATCTCACCTCAGGCCCTGATCCTACAGACTGAGGCACAGCCAGGATACGAGTCACATTGACAATGAGGAGAAAACCAGGACTGGGCAGATGCTTCTCAGCCCTCCCAGCACCTCGCCAGGGCTCCCAGGAGCCCAGCGCTGAGCCTTCCAACCTGGCTTCTCCAGGTGTGTCGCCAGCCCGAAGCAGGAGACACTACAGAGCCAAACTCTAGCAACCCAAGCCAGCTCACACTGCTTCTCAAGGCGCAGGCCAACTCCTTGGGAGACGAGGACCCACAGGGGACTCCGACATCCACCTACCTGAGGGCTGCAGCCTCCAGGACACACCCCGTGCAATCATCCCAGTGGCGTTTGACTTAGAAAAGAAGGGCAGACCCTAGATCCCACTTACCCCTCTTTCTGCTCCCCAAGAGACAGGCCTTACAGAAGATAAAGCACAGAACTCGGCCCAGCTAAGTGCTCACTAAACAGGTCCTGTCGCCGTTATCATGACTCCTTACGAGTTCCTGGCTGCCCCTTCCTCACCTCCCAGGCCCACGTGAGGAGCGTTCTGTTCATACACTCCAGGCTTAGTGGAGCTGGGAGGCCCTTAGCCCAGTCCACGGTTTGCAGGGCAGAACCTGAAGTTTCTGACAGGGGAAGGGGCTGGGAGCAAGGCTGGGCCCATAGCCAGGAGCCCTCAAGGTGTGAAGGCCCCTCTGCCCTCTGATGGCGGGACGAGCCGAGCGCCTCCCCAGAAAACCTCTCTGAAGACCCGAGGCTAGGCAGGGAGCCAGGGCGGAAGGCCTCTCCAAGGAGATGCTGGCCCTGCGCCAGGGTGCATCCCACAAGCTTCGGCTTCTAGAGAGCAGCCGAGGCTGAGGGGAGGAGGGGCGCCCGGAGAGGGGCAGCCAAGGGGCCCTCCGGCCTAAGGAAACCTGCGTCCCGTGGGTTTGGCATGAACTCGGGGTACACGGTGCCTTCCCACGCCCTGTGGTTTCCACATATCCTGGAGACTATGAAGTCACGTCAAGGACAGGGTGGGGACATGTTCCACCCCTGGGACAACCCTGCTGTCACCTACATCTGTGCCCCATTCTCCATGGGGCACTGCTAAACCTCCATCCTAAGACTCCTCTGGGATTGCCCACTGGCTCTCTTCCCCCATCCTAAAAGCTGAAAAACAGGATGCTGCCCTGTTTTTCAGATGCAGGATTCTGCCTGGAAGGACTGAGGGGTAACTCCCATCTATGGGGCTGCACCAGGCACCCCTAAAGGCCCATAAGGCCTGAGCGTCTCTATGCACCATCAGCCGGACTTTCCACGGCCCTTGATACAGAGCCCTCTGTGGCCAGAGGCCTTCCAGGCATAGGTCAGGAGTAGTTACTGGGCATCAGGGCTGGAAGGGGTCTTGATTCTCTAGTCTAGACCAAGGAAAATAGGAGCTACGTGGATAATTTTCAATTTTCTAGAAGCCACATTAAAAAGAAGGAACAGATAAAACAAATTTTAATAGTATATTTTACTTAACCCAATATTATCATTTCAGCACGTCACACTGACCGCCTCTCATGAGATCAACAGTGGTCAACAGACCAGACAGCACGACTCGTGACTCCAGTACTCTCCCCCATTTTCAGATGAGGATGTGGCCCAAGTGTCTAAGGAGAGGACACCAGGATCGAAAGGGAAGCCCCAAACTCCAGCCCTTCAGCTGGGCCCATCGGCCTTTCCTTTCAGCCTCCCAGTAAATACTCGTGGCCTCTGGAATAGACCATTTTACAATAAGTCAAATTCAGGGGGACTGCAACATGAACCTATTTGAAACAGGCAACCTGGAGAGGCGTAGAAATGGACATCCTTGCACATCACAAGCTCAGGAACAAAGACCAACAGAAGGGAACGGGAGGGAGCTTCTGGGAGACCTCTGCCCTGGAGGCAAGTCTGCATGAGGACCTCGCGCGTGCCACCCCGATCAGGGCCACCTGGCTCCTATGGGCTGTAGGCACCCACGCTCCAGCACTGGGCCTGGTGAATTTTCTACCGCGTCTCCCTGGAGGAACTACCCACAAAAGCTCCTCTCTGCTTTAGAAGGCAAGAACAAGTCGTGCATTTACCCAGCGCCTCCAGTCTTCTTGCTCCGAGTCGCCATGCCAACACACAGTCATAATTACCAAGGAACGCGCCAATAGTGGCAGCATTGACAAAGACACTATATCAGGGCCTGTGAGCCAAGCAAGGTCAGGCTCCTCGCGGCCCCCCAGCTTCCTGCCCACTTCCTTTATTCCACTCGGACCCATCTCTTTCCCTTCATTCTTTCTCTCCCACCCAGATGGTCTCTGATTACATTTTCTCTGCGAAGGAAGGCACTATAGCTCAGTGTATAAAACACTTTTATAGCAATAGGAGACAGGTTCTCCTTTGAGTCCCGATTTTCACTTGTGGGAAAAGTCACTGTGACATCCAGGCCTCAGTTATTTTGCTGTGAATGGGGAGAATATTCTGGACAGTGCCTATTCAGCCAGTGGGCGCCTGCATTTCATTCACCTACTAAATTCAGAGGCTGACGTGTGTCCAGTCGACTCTAAGATCTTCTTTATGATCAGCACCAGAGGTACCAGAAGCTCAGGGAAACAAAAGAAGGTTCAGATCAGAGAGGGAGTTGGTTCCAATACCCTGAGAACAGCAGGGCTTATATCTCTGCCCAGGAAGGGCGAAAAATCTCAGAAAAGGAGCCAGGAGCAGCTGAATGGTGGGCTCTATCAGATTATAAAAAGATGAGTAGGATGGATGAGAACTATCAGGCTAAGTGACAAGCATCCTGAGGCCCCCAGTGAGGACAAGGACATGTACCCGTTTAAAATGAGAGGTCAGAAAAGGAAGGCAGACAGCCATCACCCGGGCCCTACACAAGAGCGCCCCAATTTCAGGACACCCAGTGCACCAACATCTGAACTTACAAAGGAGATAAATTGGAGGCTGATGATTAGCATCACAAAATGATTATTCCCTTTGTAAAAGGCTTCACTGCAGGACTGCTTTAAATAGTGCATTTAAACCATGATCTGATTTGCTAAATTCGATTTATACACATCTACTGCCTAAGCTGGCGTGCGGCTGTATTTACATGTCTTCCCTTGGCACGGAGGAGGGGAGAGGCCAGCCATTATCTGGGGCCTTTAATCCTCGTACATAGTAACTAATCTGGGGAACCGAACCCTGTTTTTCTTCCCCAGCTGGGGCTTTAGATGTGAACTGGCCTCAGCTCCCCACCCCGCTTTGCCTGGGCACAGCCTACCCAAAGACAACGGCCAGGACTCAGCCAGGACCTGATGGAGCCTTTCCGCCACCAGGGGCTCCTCCCCAAGAAGCAGACCCCCAGCACACACACAGGGACGACAACTTTCCCATACAAATTGCCAGAGAATCCGGTCCGTGGCAGGCTTACTAAATTGATTCAGCACCTACAGGTACCATGCCAGGGTTCAAAGGCTACCTTTGGGAGCCAAGAAAATGTGCTAATCTAAGTTGTGGGGATATGACGAGCCACATTCTGTGATTGGTACTTAAGCCACAGGAACCAAACCTGGGCAGGCACAGAACGGCTGGCCCTGCACCCAAAGGGGACAAAAGGTCCACCAGGTCTCACAGCAACTGTGCCAGTGCAATTGAGTTCACATAAAGGGACTTAGTTCCTTAGTTGACATAAAGGGACACTCAGGTCTCACTGGCAACACGGTCCCTCCAGAGAGAAATGACCACTTCCGGTGAGGTCCAACAATGCCATAGGGCAGTTAGGAGCCGGACCACTGCCAAAAGGGGAAATACGCCACCCAGCCCACACCACTCGCCATAAGAGAGCGGCTTAGGGAGTTCATGGGCTCAGGGGGGCAACATTCAAAACACAAAGTCCCTCCACAGAACTGAAGCCAGAACCTATGTCCACCACCGCTCCGACCTCCTCAGAACCAGAGGCTTAGCCTCTAAGAGGGAACTGCTCCCTCGTTTATCCAATATTGACACACACCTGCAGTGAGCAGCCCAGCCCAGCACTGGGAACTGGGGACAAAGAAAGGAACAAGACAGCACGTGCGTCTGAGGAGCTGACAGTGTGGGATGGAGGGGTCGCTAAACACAGCTAAACCGTTGTTGAGACACCCACCAGAGTCTGCTCACAAGAGGATGGAAATTGGACTACGAATCGGGACCCCTGGGTCCCAGCCCTTGCTCCACTAGCGAACTTTATGACCTCGGGGAAAACCACTTAACCTCTCTGGGCCTGGTACCTCATCTGTGACATGAGCAGTTGACCTACATAATCACCAAGCTCTAAATTTTCTACAAAGATGGTGGAGGAGAAAATGTTCCTATCTCTAAAAATCTTGATCAATTTCCCTTTCTGAACAAAGTTATAAACCATCATATTTTCGTCTTTGTCTTGGCTGCCAGGAGGCTCAGAATAACCACAGTATTAAATCACAACATCTATTTTAGGCCAGGAGGTGGGGGGGAGGGGTGACAGGAGAGCCCTCGTATGTGAGGTGGGCTGTGTGGGGACAGAGGCTTGAATTCAGGACAGGCTTGGCACCTGGGGGCAGATGAGACCACAGTGGTGACAGATCCCAGCGTTTCTGTGTATGTACGCATATGCAAGCCTGTGGTTGAGCTCAGGCTCTGAGAAGGACAGCCTCGAATCCACATCCTGGCTCTGCCACATCCTAGCTGTGACCAAAGTCACAAATAGGGAGTCATCGCCCTACCTGTCAAGCTGAGGCTCGAATGCATGTTAAGTGCTAGGCACAGAGCGGGCCTCGATAAACGGAACAAACATTACCCGAATTTCTTGGTCAGTCTCAACACAGGCATATGTGTAGGACCAGCCTTGGGGCCAGCGGCGGGCCAACTGGGGCGATCAGAACAACAGCCACGACAGGCTTAAATTATTCGCCCGGATGGAAGCGGGGACCAGGAAGAGCCACAGTTCTGACTCTCGGGCTGTGGCCTGGAGGGGGCGAGCTCAAAGCTGCTGCCCCACGGGGGCTGCTTCCTCCGCAACTGACCACAGCAGCACGGGCGGACGCGCGTGGAGCCTCCAGGCGGGTCCCCAGCCCCAACCACACCAGCCAGGCCCCTGCCCATGGCCGGCCCTCTGCCATCCTTGCGCTCGGGACTCCCCGGGCCGGGAAGGGCGCCCCGGCCTGCTCGGCACTCAGGCCTCGCGGCGTAAAGAAAAAGCGGGCTCAGCCACGCGCCCGACACTGCGCGGACATCACGAGAGTGCGCAGCGCCTGCGGTCCAGGAGGACGACAGACGGCGGGCCGCGCCCCGGCCCCTGTCCCCGCAGCAGCCGCGACGCGCGGCCCGAGCGCCCGGAGCGGCCCGGGGCTGGAGCGCGGCAGCCGACGGCGGGCGGGGCGGGCGGCGGGGACCCGGCGGGCTGTGCGCGTTCCGCTCCTTGGGCCGCGCGGGGGCCGGGCGCGAGGAGGGGCTGGGCCCGGCGGCGCCGCCACCTACCTCGTGCCCACGCAGCCATCTTGCGGCAGCTCCTCGCTCGCTCAAAATGGCCTCCCGGCCCCGCCGCGCGCCCGCCCGAGCCGGGCACAGGGCAGGGGGCCTCGGCCCGGGCTGTCGGCGCGCCCCTCCGCCCTCGGCCGGCCCCGGGCGCCCCGCCGGCGCGCGCCCGCGCCCTCTGGCCCGCGGGCACCTCTGGGTCCGAAGGCCGCGGGCCCTACAGGGCCCTGGTGCACGCGAGGTGTGAATGTGTGCGTGCTCAACAAGGATTGCCGTACTGCTTCCGCAGCCCGGAGAGTTGGGGCGCGGGCCCAGGCCCGGAGCCCTTCTCGGGATCCCCCGATCAGGGCCGGCTGTGCCATCCCCAGCGGACGGGTAAGGCTCTGGCCACTGCGCACCTCGGGCTCCCCAGGACGCCAACGGGGAGAGCCGGGTGTCCAAGAAGCCGCGTTGGAGGCCAGAACCGTCAGAGCTGCCATTTACTTGGCTCCTACTGTGTGCTACGCGCCGTGCTCTGCCGGATTGTATCTCAAAGCACAACAGCCAGTAGGTGTATTATTCACGCCGTTTTCCTGGGCTTCGGGGAAGGAGGAGACTGCAGCAGGGCCTGGGGAGGAGGGGCGCTTGTCTGGTGAGCCAGGTAAAAACCCAGCCACTCACCGACGGGATCCTGGAATCTCCCGCGAGCCCGCTCTTGAGACCCCCAGGGCAGAGGCGGGCTGCAGGCCCACACCCTGGCTGTGGCCACTCACCTTTCCTCCCGCGCGCCCTCCTACGAACTGACGAACGGACGGGTGCAGACGGCGAATTCGTGCCCGACAAGAGGGCACCGAGGAGAGAGGCGCCTGCAGGGGAGTAGCTGTAAAACAGAAAAGACACATCAGGGGCCCCCCACGCCCGCCCAGACGCGCGCCGCGGTCCACTGGAAGGTGGGGATGGGGACACACGTGTCCTCCAGGTCACGACCACAGCCCGGCGCGGCTGCTGGGCGCTCTCCCGCCTCGGTATCGCCCGCCCAGGATGCCCGAGGGAAGCCTGGCTAAGGGAGGTTCCCTCCTGCCCGGAGCTCCTTACCCACCAGCGGGCCAGGCATCCAACCACCCGGGAAGTGGGGCACTTCCATGCGCCCAGGGTCCCGCGCATCTCGGAGAGCCTGCCAGCGACCGCCCCAGGACGACCCTGGCTTCCCGGACAGCGCTGCTCGTGAGAGACCCGGACTCTGCCAGAGCCGGGACCCAGGCGATTCTCCCCAAGCCTAACTGCTGGAAATGCCGAACCGGAGCGCGCATGGCCTCCTGGCGGCGCCCTCTTCACCGGGCAAGTCTGTCCGGATCCTGCTCCCTTCGAATCTCTGAAGACACTTATTCATCTCCCTCCCCAGCCAGCCAAGCCTGGAACTCGACACCCTCTCCGACTCTCCCCCGACGGGGCGCTCCTTGGAGTCCCGATTCGTCTCCCAGTTCCGGCCTCAGCCCAGTGGGCATGGCAGGCACTGGGGCAGGAAGGTGGCTGGTCAGCTCTTCCATGAGACTGGCCGTTTCCTGGCGCTTTGTCTCCTGCGGGTGGACGTTTCAACCTCAGATCCAGACATTCCCGTGCACCCCCTGCCGCAGCCTGGAGAAAGAGCTATCATTTGCTCAGCGCCCACTGTATGCCAGGCACTTGTACATTTTACTTAATTCTCATGTGACCCCTGAAGGTGGGGATACTATTATCCCCATTTCACAGATGGGGAAACAGAAGCCCAGAGAGATGATGTGACTTGTTAAGGATACTCTGAATTGTAACAGCCAAAGCATGCCAGAACGGCCTGCCTCCCAGGCGTGGGCATCCCTCCCCAGCTGCCAGCTGCTGCCTTTCTGGGGTTTGGATTGCTGGCTTGTTAACCCAGCCTGGGATAGTCCTGGGTCTTCCACCCCAGTGCCGCAGCTCAGGAATTGTCACCCCTCGGGGCCGAAAAGGTCACAGAGGCGAGCCAGTCCTCCTGCAGGGAATTTCTGCAGGCCTCCTGGGCACCCCAGAGGCATTGCCACCCTCTTTAGCCTGGGTCCAGAACGTTGGGGGTACCTGGCAAAGCCTCATGGCAGCCAGTAATCCACTCTTGATTTTTAAAACCCCAGTCTACACTGTTAAAGAAGTGGGTGACCTGTATTATTATCAGGACAATTCAAGCAGGAGAAAATGAGATAGAGGGGCGCGGAGGGCGTGATATTTTTACTCTCAACCCCAATGGAGACCTGAGGGGATTAGGGAGCTACAAAGAGGAGCGTGGCGAGGAAATGCCCCTCTCTCTCTGGTTCCCTGCAAGAGATTTCATCCCAATGATCACCAGGCAGGAAGCTGTTAACTCCTCGAACCTCCAAGCTGGGAGGCGCTTTTTCTTTAAATGACGTTAATGTGACGTTAGTAGTTTTTTTTTAATGAAATCTCTTTAAGAGACAACTTCCATTAAAAAATTATGTTCATTGGGCCTGAGGTGAAAGAAATAAAAGGCAAAATGAAAAAAAAAAAGTTTGGGCTTTCAGAAGAGGGCCAGGGTGACAGCCCCCTCCCCTGGGCTGCCCGAGATGGCAAAGATGGCAGCTGAATGTTGAGATGGGGTGGGTACAACTCGACTTGGGAGGCACCAGGAATGGGGGACATGGAGGGGACAAGGGTCTGAAGTCACACTCTGTGGAGGGCACAGGAGAGAGGTCCTTTTCAAAATAAACCCAAGTCGATGGTGTGAGACCAGCCGACCAGCCTAGCTAGGAGGATGCTGTGGTGCCGAGCCCCCTTCCCAACTTGCAGTCCAGCTGCCCCCTAAGGAGACAGAAGAGGCTGGAGAAATGCCACCCTGTGCATTCCTGCAACACACAAAGAACTGGGGTTTGGCCAGAGACAGAGGCGAGCAGCTCCACTCAGCACCCGCTAATTCATGGGGGGAGGGGGACAAAAAAACGAGGTTAAAAGGTGATGGCCGGGAGAGGCTGACCAGTGAGGGGCTCAGTGCCTATGCAGATGGAAGCTGGAAGGAAGTTTTAATTAGCACAAAGCCAGCACCTTCCATTAATAGCTCCTAGCCGGCTCCTGGGTGCCTCTGATGGGAGGCAAGTTGGAATGTGCAAGGCTCACCTGTCCCCTGGCTCATTAGCAGGACCAGGGTGAGAACAGGGCCGTCCTGGCGGAAGACCAGCCCAAACCAGCCCCCTCCCCAAAAATCCTAATTACAGGTCTGACTTCTGGCCCCATCCAAGGGGAAGGTGTTTAACACAAGTCCAATGCAACCGTGACCACGAAATCTCCTGAACACTGGCTTAGCCAGGCCTCCAAGGACAATGCTCCCTCCAGGCCTGAAATAAATTCTTAAAAAGAAAAACTCCTGGTGTATATTCCTTGTCCATGTATATGAAACTCTAGATAGTTGAACTAATTCATGGGAGGAGACATGGAAAGGGGGTAGGCGGGGATTGACTGGGAAGAGCCAGGAGGGAAGTTTCTGGAGTGAGGGAAATGCTGTCTATCTTGAGTGTTGGTTACATGGGTGTAAATGCATTTGTCAGAACCCATAGAACTGTACACCTATGATCTGTTTCCGTATGTAGATTATGCTTCTAATCATACATATGGACATGGTACGTATGTGTCTGTGTAGCACACACAGATGCATACAAAGGTCTCGGCCCCTGACCGATTTCTCCATAGCCTGTGATCTCCTTGATGGGAGGGTTCACACCCTTTCCAGGGTCACAGTAGAGGAAAGGACCAGAGCAGATGGGGAAGTGGGGCTGTGCGCATCTCGCAAACACAGGGCCTCGGCCGGCCGGGTGGGGCAAAGGAACATCTGAACTGAATCAATTAGCTGCAGAAAACTTCAGAAAAGGAGTAAGGCCCTTCATAAAAACAAAGCCCACTCCTTAATCCCCAAAGGCCATCCTCTTCCCCATTCTCAGGGCCATTCCTCAGTAAACAAAGAAATCCCCCTTCCACATCCACACCTCAATATTCATTATGAGCTGACATTAGTGACCGCATTACAGCCTCCCAGAGCGCCCTAATGATGGGACCCCAAGGGCAGACGACCAAGAGGTTTCCTCTCTCTCCTTTCTCTCCACGTCCCCTCTCCCCTTCCCACGGCCGCTGCTGTGCTTTCTTTCCTCCTCTCTCTCCTTCTTTCTTCTTTTCTGCAAATTAGTGAATAAGCAAACCCAGGGCAGGCAAATCAAGGCAGAGACGTCACTAACTCTACTTTGTTCATTTATTTTGACAAGTGCAGTTTAATTTTAATTATTTATGATAATACTTCATAGTAGACGAGTGAATGTGCTGGGGTATATTTGGTAACATTAATGAAGTCTGCCTAATAGGAAACTTCACTCCAGCACCCGCCTGGAGAGCTGCCGGCTGCAGGAGTGGGGTGGGACCGCTGGTCTGTGGTAGGGTCGGCAATTTTTTGTGTGTGGGGGCAACTTAATGGGTTTGAGGATTAGCGAAGGGAAAATTAACCCGATTCTGGAGAAGAGGCAAATACTCAAGCCCATAATTGTGCGTTGACGTGGATTGTGTGTATTTAAAGACCGAGAGAGCACACTTTGTGATAAGGAGGCCCAGGCGTGCACACGTACCACATGCATATTTACACATGAATCTCGAATGTGCAAATCAGCAGAGGCCCAAAGAAATTAGGCTCTGGGCAATTAAAAATTGAAATAAAAATGGAAAATGTGATACCCAGAGTTCTCTATCTCTTCAAAGTACCTTTTTCCTACTTATATGCCTCAAGTGGGCAAACACTGTGGAAAATGTGGGAGCTGATAAAAAGGGGAGGAGGCTTCTCTGGCTGGTGATTACTTGGGAATGCGCCCTTCAACACACAAAGAACCATGAAAAACAGGTCTCAGTCGATGTAACATCATTTTAAATGATTTTTTTTTTCCTTTTTCTCCCCAAAGCCCCCAGGTACATAGTTGTATATTCTTTGTTGTGGGTCCTTCTAGTTGTGGCATGTGGGACGCTGCCTCAGCGTGGTTTGATGAGCAGTGTCATGTCCGCACCCAGGATTCGAACCAACGAAACACTGGGCCGCCTGCAGCGGAGCGCGCGAACTTAACCGCTCAGCCACGGGGCCAGCCCCGATGTAACATCATTTTAAATGGGACTTATCTTTTTATAGCTCCCCCTAACCCTGCTGCCATCCTTAATATAACTGATTGTCACATAAGTGTATGATTTGGTATAGAGACCATATATATATATATATATATATATATACACACACACACACACACACACCCCAAGAATGGGTACATTATATACACGAATGTGCAATCATTTGGTCCAAATACTCAGATATCTGGCACATCTCAAGATAACACGCTCCAAAGCATTTGCATTAATATTATCTACAATAATGATAGACTTGTCGTAACACAATTAATGCTTAATTTTTGAATGCAAAGAAATGGTTGACCCTTTATCTTAAAAATAAATAAAAAGTACCTTGAGGCTGCGTGTTTCTCATCTCCTCCTTGTTTGCCCGTGCCCAGCGTGGGTTAGGGACATTTCAAGAGACAGAAGTGGGTTATCTTGGGACCAACTGCACTGCCCGCCTCAGGAAAGAGTCTAAAAGCTCAGGCGTGGTCCAGCTCAGGGGGAAAGAACTAGTAACTCGGCAATTGCTGGTTTCTCTTACTGGATGATACAGAGGGAAAAAGCGAGGGTGTTCCACAACTAAGGCGCACCAAAGTCTCAGAAGAGGGGGCCCCTTTCTTGGGACAGCCACACAGGTGTGTAAGAGGCTGATAGGACCTGCCTGCACCCACAAAGTGCCTTATAACAACTCCCCACGCTCCAAGCAGAGGAACGTCTTGCCCATTAGAACAAGATCATCAGCTGGAGGCACCTGGCTCCCAGCTTCCTTGCCTGGCCCCACGCTCCTCAAACCCTTCTCCTTAAAGCTGTGGCCTGGCTCTGGCGTGGGAAAGGCAGCTCGGAGCTTTTCACAAATCCAGTATCCCCTTGAACCAAAACCAATTAGCCTGGCCCAAGGTCCTGTCATTGAGGCCCTGGCCCTCTTTTCAAACCCCTGCGGCTCAATTGCCGTGAGGGCCTGGCCAGTGAATGCCTGACCACTTAAAGTGGTGCTTAAGCCGGACCGGCCTGGAAGGAAGGAGCCAGCGCTATGCAAGCCGCAGCGGCCCATTCTCAGAGCCACTGACCAAGGTTTTGTTCCAGCCACAGCCCCCACCCTGGCTCTATTTTTAAAAACCTTTCCGTCCTCTCCGGTTCCCAGCTGTCTGGAGGAGAGATGAAAAGCTGGCTCTAGGAAGCCATGAGACACCCAAACTTGGCTCCCCAGACAGAAAGGACACCCCCAAGTTCTGAGTTCTGCCCCCAGTAGTCTGCCCTGCCTGCTAAGGGGAAAGGAGCTCTAACATTGATAGGGCACCCACTGTGCCCTCCACGCTTTCCCCGGTGATCCTGCACCCCAGGGTTATGCACACCCATCTTACAGATGAGACAACTAAGACTCAGAGCTGGGAAGTGACTTGCCCCAAATCACAGCACTTAAGAGCAAGGCAGTTTGGGGGGTGACTTCTAAGAGCTCCTGAACACCATTCTCAGGAAGAGAGAGAGAAGAGGATGAGAGAGAGACCAACATGGCCCTTTGGACCAAGATGAGAACGACAGAGGGGAGTACGACCTGGGGAAATTTGAAAACTCCTGCAAGAGCAACTCCTGGAGGAACCCAGGTCTCTGTGAAGGCCCTGCCCACATCGTCCATTCTCCCCCTGCCAGACTCCAGCTGAAGTGACCCTAGGTGGAATGGGGGTGACACGCCACAGGCTACTCCAACCCCCTACCGTCGCCACCTCCCCTTCACAGCCGTCCAGGCGGAGCGAAGACTTGCCCTCTGCGATGGGCGGCACTGCCAGGGCGCCCTGGCCGTCGCCATGGTGACGCGCATCCCACCCTAGGACAGAGCTGATTGGTCACTGTATCCAGGCTGACGGAGGGGGTCTAAAGTCAAGGCGGGATGGGGGACAGAGACACCCCGACACACACGCGGGAGAGAGAGGTGCCAAGGGGGAAATGAAGGCTATTAAAATGGCGCCGCTGCTGTGGGTGCGCATAGCCGGGTTGGAGAAATCCGGGTGGTTTTCTTGACCGCGCCGCCTGGGTCCTGGAGGGCGCATACATCCCGCTGGGGCTGCCCCGGGGTCCAGGGCTGACCCCTGCCTGCCTCGCCCGGACCTGGACTTAGCGGCCGGCACACCCCAGCCGGCTGGACCCGCCCCCGGCACGCTCGGCCGGGCGGGCGGATTAGCCCGGGGCCGGCGGACCCGAGGGCGCGGGGCGGGCGGCCGGGGTGTGGGGCGGGGCGGGGCGGCGGCCGCGCCTCTCATCCCAGCGCTGCGTGTGGGAGCGGCCGGATCAGGGAATTAGCGCTGTAACTTCGGATTAGTAACGCTCGCTAAATGAGCGCCTAATTCCGACCCTGCATGCTTTTCAGCGTCGCGGCTGGGCCCTGGGAGGCCTCCCGGCCTCGCGCCCTCCGCGCTCCGGTCCCATTTCCCCGGAGGTGGGACCGCGGCCGCGGAGCGCTCCCTGACCGGCCTGGATGAGGCCTCTGGCCGCGCCGCAGCCGGATTTTCGGCGGCGCCGGGGGATGCCAGCTTTCCATTCGCCGGGGCAGAGACCCGCCTGGTCCTACAGTCGTTCAGGGTGGGGAGTTCCTGGACCGGTGAGAAGGCAGCCCTTGTGCTTCACTGGCCACGGGGGCTGCCCCGATCCCTGCCCCACCAATGCCTTGCTGTGCGACCTTTGGCGAGCCATTGGGCCTTACTGAGCTCGCTATTTCCAGATGTCATATGAAAGGGGTTGAGTGAAGAGCATCTTGGAGATCCCAACCAATTCTGGCTTCTAAGCCGCAGCTTCCATTGCGTTCTCAGGCTCCCCAAAGCCTTTTTGGAAGGGGGGAGGGAAGGAAGGGGAGGCAGGGCAAACTTGCCACAAAAGAGAAGCCCAAACACGGGAGCCGAGTGGCCAGAGGAGGCCAGAGGAAGACCTCCGTGGGGCACGGGAAGAAGCGCTGAGGAGGCCCAAGGCCAGGCCGGCTCCCCCAGGGCCGGGCAAGCCAGAAGAGGTCTGATGAGAGGAGGCACCAATTTTGAGTGTGGGCCTCGAGCTTCAAGTGTCCAGAGGGGATTTGAACAAGGCTAAATTAGGGGCGGGCATCCATGCCTTGAGGCAAAAATCGGGCGGGGTGGCCTCTCTCCAAGGGCAGCTCTGGTGCGTGTGGGGTAGGGTCTGGGAGATTAGGATTCTGGCGCTCTCTGCCCGCCGAAGCCCGGCCACCGCGATCCTTTCCCTGACCCGGGAGGTTTGCATCAAGGGATTTTCGTAGAAAGCGGAAAGAAAACTGCATTCTCCCCCTCGCAGACTCCTTCTCCCCCACAGCCAGGTTTTAGGACTGCCCAGATGGTTTGGGAACCCCAGTGTTTAAAACAAAAGCAAAACCCCCCCCCCAAGAACTCATTTGAACTGTGTAGACACAGCTGTGAGGCTGCAAAGCCACCGGGCTAATAGAAGGACTAGTTGTTGCAAAATAGCAAAAGGATAGGGATGGTGGGAAGCTGAGATGGAAGCCCAGGGCCCATGGCCAGCTGGCTAGGAAGGGAGAACAGGGCCATGGGGTGGGAAGAGCTGCTCCGGTTTCCTCCGAAATGAGGTCACCATCAGCGCACAGGCTCCCAGGTGCGCTGGAAAGGGAGGGCCACCCAGGGGATGCTGCTCATGGCTCGTGGATCCTGAAACACACTAGTCACCCTTTGCCAGCCTCTCGTAAGCAAAAAGGGAGACTCACCTTTAAAAATGGGGGGGGTACACAGGATCCACGAAAACCTTGTACCAGATAATTATCTCTGGGGCAGAGAACTGGGGACAGAGGGAGGGCAACTGACTTTCCCTGCCTGGGCTTCTGTTTTCTTATTTTAATTTTATTTTCAATAGCTAACACATTCACATGGTTCAAAATTCAAAAGCTGATACAGTGAAAAGTCTCTCTCCACCATACACCCGAGCCTCAGTTTCTCTCCCCAGGGCCAAGGGATTTCCCTTTTGTACAGTTAGAATTTTTGCCTTTTACACATATAACCTATTTCCAAAATAATTTTGTAACACAAAGGCCAAAAAAACAACAACGCTTGAAGGAATGAAAATGGAAAGATTTCTATTATTGAGAGAGGACTGGTCAGCTTCTGATAGGGGCTGCGAACGTGGGCCTTATAAATAACTGAGGGAGAGGCTCTGAGGAAGGAGGAGGTGGACCGAGATGGGAATAAGGTGGCCCGAGCCCAGCTCTGCACTTCTGAGCTGTGACCCCGGAAGAGTCACTTCAGGCCTCCAGATCTGTTTCCTTGTGTAGGAAAGGGAAAAGGGATGGGGGCTGTGTCTGGGTGGTGGCTGCCATCCCTTACACCCTGTCTGTCACAGCACTCACAGGCTCACATACTTAGAAAGCTCCCCAAACCATCAGGGCGTCTGAACGCACATTGGATTCTTTCTTCCCTGAGACATGGAGGGCTCTAAAGCCACGCATCCCCAGGAGCCCAAGCAGTTCCCCAAGCTTCCTGGGAAGCCCTGAGTTTCAGGACAAGGTGACATGTCAGGGAGGGGAGTGACCAGGAGGCAGAAAAGGACCTCAAGAGGAACCCCAGCGCTGGGTGCTGCGTGGGACCCAGACCTCCACGCAGTGAGCAGGGGGCATCCCACTCCCCACGCCCCAGCTCCGAGGGACTCGGAGCCTGAGTGGCCGGGTGTGCTGCATAGGGTTGCCATGGGAACGGAATGCAGATTTGCCCCAATTGCTTTTTTATTTGCTAGACATTGTAATACATCTTATGTTGCGACTTGGGGAGGAGGGGGGAGAGAGGGGGAGGGGGCACTGGGAGCCTTTCCGCACCTTAACCACTCGGGGAAG